CTTAAATTCCTTTCTCTGGGTATAAAAATAAGTCAAATGCTTATAGTTAAAGGAATTCAGGTTTAGATATGCATCTCAGAAGAATGCTTACAGGATGTAAAAGAAAAAAAAATCATTGGTTATTTATGCATCTGTTGTTAGAAAACTGTAGATTGCTGTCTATTTCCTATAGAATTTTAAGTGCCACATTAAATCACATTATTCAGTGCTAACAGATATCCTTAGAATTATGTAATATGAGGGGTTTAAAAAGAGAGAGTACATTTTCTCCTTTTTTATGGACAATTTAAAAATCTTTACAGGAGCATTTATTATATTCCCATTTGCCACCACTGGGTCTCATCACTCTTGAAGATATTTTTTTTTCAATTTCCTTATATGCCCATTTCCTTTTAGCAATATCTTGCTTTTCCTTTTTAAATGTGAACTTGAATATTAAAACAGATGCAAAGGAGAGTACTACTTACACATAAACTCTTGAACTGCATTTTTATCATTTGCTCTGTGGAAAAAACCCAATTGTATGAAATTGATAGCAACATTTTAGTATATCCTCAGGTCCCTGGAGAAAAGCAATGTGCTTAGACAGATGATCTGATTTTATGAGCACATAGCTGAAGTCTAGCACGGCGCATTTGTCTTTATGCTCCTACTTTTTTCAGGGACTATGAAAACACATTTAGGCACTAGTTTCACTTTCCAACAATGAACTGCAAAGCCTATGACAATGCATAGCATTTTCTTTGATGTTTTTCATGATGCACATCAAAATGTAGCCCACTATCAGCACAGAAACCGTAATCTGAGCTTATTAATAAGAAAACAGGAGCCTTAGTATATGAATTCATTTTGATTATCTACCCTCACTGAGGACTGTGATTTGGATTCTACTCAAATATGAATTAGTTTAAATGTTGTTCTGCAGCGACTGTTGAATTTATTCATTATGCTATAATACTTTACTTATGAAACTACGTTTGAAAATCCTTTGTTGTATATCAGGATAAAATTACAGTACTCAGGGATATTGATTATTGCTTGTAATTGCCATCATAATAGCCTACAATTCTCTGTCTTTCTTCTACATCTTAATGATATACCAAACCAAATCAATATCCAACATATTGGGCCACTTACATTGTCTCAAAAATCCAATTATTCTTCTTCATAAATATGCAACAGATTGAAGATTTTATCGCCAAACATTAAGTAAAATAGCCTCATATTGCTGGGTTTTTCCTTTATGCCATATGAATGTATCAGAGTGTTACTATATAGAGTCAGGTGTATGAAAGTGACATTTTGTCACCTCTAGAGTAATGATGGGGCAGGAATAGAGAGGCAGAAATGCAGACTAGAGAGGGTAGCCAGACATTAAAGAAGAAATCCACTGCCTTATGCCACGGAGGAGGTTTTCATGGTCTAAAGAGGAAGTGCAATGAAATGGAGAGAGTGTAGAGCTATGAATTACTCATTCAAGAAAGCATTTGTTCTTATTACTACTATACACTGTTTCTCTGATCTTGGAGTAAAGCAGGTGATTTCGGAAGCAGTGATAAGTTCTCTAAAGTCTCATCAACTAAATGGTAGTTTCTTTGCAATGTTTTTCTATTCATCCAAAAACAGTTAAGACACTTTTGAAACTTACTATCATAAGACCATGTGACAAAGTAGAAAAATATACCTTTATTATAGAATATTCTTCTAAAATATTGAATTTAGTTAGCCTAGGTGGTTAGAATTTGGAGCTCATTGGATGAAGAATGTGGTTAGCAGGTGGAATGGGGCGGCCATGGATAAACACTATTATTTTTAAATCCCAAGTCCAAATTTAATAATGTTGTTGCCTGGCTATGCTGCTTTTGAGAGACTACTTTGGATAAACCCAGTTTCCGTAACTGAAAAATGAGGTTAGACTAGTAAATGATATCGGAAGTCCCTTCCAACTCTGTAATTCAATAGCCATCATTACCACATTTTTAGTCATTGTTCTCAAAAGGCACAAGGTAAAACTGTGGTTCAATTCAACATCATCCACATACCAAAGTCAACCAAAGGCATACTTATTTTGTAGCTAAAAAATCTTGGACTCATATATTAGTATGTCTACTAACTGCATTTGGAATATACAGAAATCAACTTGACTACATTTGTGGAAAGAGAAGAAAAGCTCCATATCATCAGCCCAAACAAGGCCAGGGCAGACTGTGGAGACCATCAACTGCTATAATAGAAATACCGCAAATGGATGCTAGTAATCACCATAAATGTATTCTCTCACAGTTCCCTCAGCTGTTGTTGTTGTTAAGTGCTGTCAAGTTGGTTCCGATCCATAGAGACCCTGTATAGGGTTTCCAAGGAGCGGCTTATGAGCTTGAACCACCGACCTTGCAGTCAGTCCAGCAGTCCAGCGCATTAACCCACAGCACCACAGAGTGCTGGCTCTTGAGGAAGGCTTTCTCTTTGCCTGCTGTGGGGGAAAGTCCTTGTCTCCCTCCTTTCAGCATCTGTAGGCTCAGCGTTCCTTGGAGATCTCCATTCATCTTGGCATCTATCTTCCCCTGGATCTAGGAGCTTCACAATGCAGGGATCCCAGGTCCAAAATACACACTTCATTTCAAGCTCTTCTACCTTTCTGGTAGTAGGTTCCTCTTTCTCCTCCCAAGCCTCTCCTTTTATCTCTTACGAATGGTGCTGTTAACTTCAAGGTCAGCAGTTTGAAACTACCAGCTGTTCCGCAGGAGAAAGATGAGGCTTTCTGCTCCCGTAAAGATTTGCAGCCTTGGAAACCCTGTGCAGGGTCACTATGAGTCGGAACCGACTCCATGGTACTTAACAACCATAACAAGATAAAAGCAGTCCTAGTGTGGTGCTGCAGGTTAATGGGCTGGACTGCAAGGACGGTTTGAACCATAATATTGGCAGTTCAAGCTCACCGCCCACTCCATGGAAACCCTATACAGGGTCACTGTGAGTCAGAACAAACTCAATGGCACTTAACAACAACAACAAGATAAAAGGAGATGCGTGCCACACCCTTGGGAATCTCCCATAAATCTGATCAGGGTGGTGATTATATAAAGGGTAGTGGATTCCACCCTGGCAAAATCTTGGAAAATTCTATCTTGCAATTTTCCCTCAAACATGTTTTCTTGAATATATTTTCTTAAAAAAAAATAATAAATTGTATCTTATTGCCCATACTGTTTTGAAGCTATCCTTCTTTCAACTGGTAATATCTATAAACAGTTTTCCTAGTAAATACATATTCTTTTAAAACATAATTTTCAATGACTATAAAATAGTATACCTAAACAAATGGTTATTATTGGGCATTTAGGTTTGTTTGTTTGCTTGTTGTTATTATAAATAATACAATGACCAACTTCTTGGATATATTATCATACACATAATTTTCTAAGGATCAATTTTAAGAGGCATAATTATTAGATCAAAGAATATACATATTTAAATTATTTTGATACATAATACCAAATCGTTCTCCAGAAAACCTTGTGAATCTGACTCCCCTCAGGAATATAATCCTTTTAAAACAAAAACAAAACCCTTTAACTTCTTCATACCAACACAAGTTCTCTAAAGTGAATATATTTTTTAAATGTACTGGCATATGGAGGGTTGGCTTTCTTTTAAATGAATATGCTTTTGTTCTTTAAAAATGGAAGCAGAACATCAGTCTTAAAACAATCTGATTGATTTATACATTTGCGCACATGTTGTATGTACAAAGTGATGGTGGCTCTTTGCTTAGTGGAGGTTTTTTCTTTTGTCGTACATTAAAATCCACTACTGGAATTAATGTGTTTGGATTAACTATGTATTTTAGTGGCCCAGGCAGCACAATGGAGTGGTCATGATTAAAAACTTTGGAGTGTGAATGACTTGGGTTCCCATTTTAGCTCTGTTATTCAACTTGCTATATAGGCAACTCATTGTTGTTGTTTTTGTTAAGTACTGTCGAGTCAGTTCTGACCCATAGTGAACCTGTATAGTGTTTCCAAGGAGTGACTGGTGAACTTGAATCACCGACCTTGGGGATCAAACCAACTTTGCAATCCAGCACATTAATCCGCACCAGCACCACACCAATTAGTAAGGGGAAATTTGCAAGTACTGTTTTCTAGGACGTTCTGACTGACAAAATGCCCTGCTGCAAGATTCTGGTTTTGAATCAATTCTTGAGAACAGTTAGTAAAATAAGAGCGTAATATAGGACTCTTGGGTGGCGATTCAAGCTCACTATACAGGGTCACTAAGGGTCGGAACCGACTTGATGGCACTTAACAACAACAACATAGTAAATAATACCAATATGGAAGGTTAACGCTTGTAGATTGAGAAATCCACTAACCAGCAAGTTGGAGAGCACAAGACTCCTTTTTTTTTTCCACTTCTAAAGGTCTGAGAAAACAAGGGGGAGCCCGCCAAAAGCAATTACAGTTAACCCTTATTACAGGACAATTTCAACCAGCCCCCTCCAGTTCCTCTGAGCTTTGTCATAGCATGACTGTTTGATATTAATGGAATTTGTGTTTTTATAACAACTAGATTTGGTTTTTATAGCTCCAATTTTTGTGTTCTTTTCATAGGCATTTCTTGTTCAAACATGGATCTGGTTCCTCCGCTATCTTCAGTGCAGCCAGCCAAAACTACCCTCTGACGTCTAATACCGTGTACTCGCCCCCTCCCAGGCCACTTCCTCGAAGCACCTTTTCTCGACCTGCCTTTACCTTCAACAAACCTTACAGGTGTTGTAACTGGAAGTGCACGGCCTTGAGCGCTACTGCAATCACAGTGACTCTGGCTTTGTTATTGGCCTATGTGATTGGTAAGCCCTTTTTTTCCATGCATCACTTTCTTGGTATTCAAAGTTTTGTTTTGCTAGTGGAATGGGGGAGTTCTCTCAATGCTGGGATAGACACAGGTTTAGTATTATAAATAACAAATGGATTTCTAATTCATTTTTTCTGTGTACTTCCTAACCTTAACTACTGCTGAGGAGAGTAAGAAATGCGCCTTGAGAAGAAATATTGATACTACTAACAGTCTTATTGATTGCAATTACTGTAGCTAACCAATTTCTTTTCAATTAAAAGGTTGTTATGGTTTTCTCATTAGAAGTCATAAGTACTATTCTACAATTGCTGCTTAAATTATAGTTACACAGTAATACCTGTTGCCATCAAATGAATTCAGACTCAGTGACCCTATCAAACAGGGTAAAACGGCCCTGTATGGTTTCCAAGACTGTCGAGAGGAGGCAGACTGCCACATCTTTCAACCACAGAGAAAATGGTAGGTTCGAACCACCACCCTTTCAAACGACCTATTATTGCATTAGGCAAATCTGCTGCATGGTTGTCAGCTGAGTGCTGAACCATGGTACCACCAAGTTCCTTTAAACAAGAGTACTAGTCCTAAACTTTCAGGTAGTAATTTCCTTAAGGAGCCCTGGTGTGGTGCCGTAGAATAAAGCACTGGACTGTAAGCTCAGTTTGTACGTTAAGGATGGCGGCTCAAACTCACCAGCCGCTCCTCGGAAACTGCATACAAGGTGGCTAAGAGTCAGAACCGACTGAAAGGCACTTAACAACAACAACAATTTCCTTAAAGCAGTAGTTAACAAATGGAAAGGATCAGAAAAATCCAGCATATCCTTTCATCCCAGGAATTCTGATTTTTACATGTGCCAAAAAAAAAAAAAGAAAAGAAAGAAACAGAAGAAAAAAGTCTCCTTATTTTCACATGGTAAATAGCTGTAGAATTGTATGGTTACTGTGTGTGGGAAGATAAAGCAGAAAAGAATCACGAGGCACTCTTTTCCACTTCTAAGGAACAATGTTGTTGTTGTTAAGTCACCCTGATTAAAGTCACCCTCACTTGATAGCAAATTGTATTGATTCTTCTAGATGGCATTTTATTTTGAATGAACATTAATTTCTTTGCTTGAGTGATTCTGCAGTTTAAAATGTAAATTAACTTAAGAAACATGCATTTTGTGGAAACCCAATTCCTAGAATGAATAGATTATGGTGGAAACTTTTTATACAGGTATATCACCAGTAACTTACTTGCTAGTTTAACGCAATTACCTAATTGAAGCAAGTTTAACCAATAAGACACAGTGAACATGATTCTGATATGTAGCTAAACCAGCTGCTCAACACTTAACAACAACACTTGACATTCACTTATCCAAAATGTAAACAACAAGACAGTTCAAATAACCAGTTTTTTATAGGAGTTGTAGAACCTGTGGCACTGTAGGATAAACTCTAGATTGCTAACTGCAAGGTTAGCAGTTCAAGCCCACCAGCTATTCCTCAGAAACCCTATACAAAGTCATTGTGAGTCGGAACTAATTAAACAGCACTTAACAACAACAATAATAACCAGAAATATGTCTTATCTCAGTCATTTCAGGATAACATGACATGGATGTTTATTTGGTTTCTAATAACCTATATGAGAAGGATTCTTGAAGGCATGTAGGTAGGGAATGAGAAAGGACTGCAACTCAAATGTAATTTTAAGATGAAATCCTCTAAATCAAGGACTAATTTTGAAATGTTTAAATGCAGCTGTTGTTGGTGTTAATTGACATCGAGTTAGTTTAATATCATATGGGGTTTCCGAGGAGTTTGAACCACTGACATTGCAGTTAGCAGTCCATTGCTTATCCTACAGTGCCACAACAGGAAAATGCATTGTTGTGGCTGTTAAGTACCCTCAAGTCAGTTCTAACTCATAGTGACCCTGTATAGGGTTTCTGAGGGGTGACTGGTGGATTTGAACTGCCAACCTTGTGGACCAATACTTATCCTACAGTGCAGGCAAATGCATAGAGACTCTTTAAAATTGGCGTATGAGACTGCTTAAACCAAGTGGCTTTACACGAGACAGAGAATTAAACTCAAAGTCAGCCCAAGGCCATTTCCTATGACGTGGACGTCAGATGTGCTTCCACCCGACAACTTTTACCCTATTCTGATATATTCTGATACCAACTATCCCTCCCACAGCACTCTCTGCTTCATATCTAGGTTTGATAATCCATTACAATGACCACACAGAACTCATAACAATATGATTATGGGGTTTATTTGGGAAGTGAGCAGGGTACAATTCAGGATCAAAAAAGCTCAGGACACAGCAGTTGTCCAGTCAGAAATGCCTTTTGTGTGCCATATTGCGGGCATGCCTCAGTCTTGACTTCTGCCTCTCAACCATGTGGCCCCTTGGCATCTGTCCTGCTCCAGCAAATATTGCAAAGATCTTTAAGCCCGTCTGTGAATGCACAAAGGGAACATTCTTCAAGCCAGTCTACTGCCTGAAGGCACTGAGCTGTATTCAGTAGTCCATTGGCCTACAGTCTGAAACTGCTGTCTCTCTGCCATCGCCTCTGCTGTTGGTTGCTTTTCTAAGTAGGGATAACACACTCCACTTGTGCTCTTCCTTCTTGATGGTCCTGGGATCGTCCATTCCTGTTTCTGATATGGCTCCTTTTAAACCTAGCTGGATGACAAAACTAACCAATCCCAGCCTTAAGAGTCCTGTACACCTTATTTGCATGGTCCCATGCAATCACTTACGGAGTCCTGGTGTGGCGCTGTGAGTTAATGCACCAGACTGCAAAGCCGTTTGAACTGCAAGGTTGGCAGTTCAAACTCACCAGCTGCTCCTTGGAAGCCCTATACAGGGTCACTATGGGTTGGAACCGACTCTACGGCACTTCACAACAACAACCCAGTCACTTGATGGGCATTAAGACATTGGAGAGAAAAGCCACATCAAGTAAATTTAAAGGTACCGGAGACAAACTGGTTTTATAGATTATCTCTAACTTTTACTATATATAACAACAATGTTTTAGAGACAAGAATTACTGCAATTATTGCATATTGCAAAGTTGGTTCTAACCTATGGTGACCCTGTATAGGGTTTCCAAGGACTGGCTGGTGGATTGGAATGGCCAGCCTTGTTGTTTGCAGTTCAGTGCTTATACTAGTCCTTGATATAAACAAATACAGGTTTATAGGTTTATAAACAAACTCTTTATAGATTTATACTATATTTAAGGAGTCCTGGTGTGGTGCTGCAGGCTAATGTGCTGGACTGCCAGGCTGCTTTGAAACTCAAGGTTGGTGGTTCAAGCTCACTAGCCGCTCCTTAGAAACCCCATACAGGGTTGCTGAGTCTAAACTGACTCTACAGCACTTAACAGCAATAACAACAGCTGTATTTAATCTGTATTTCTATTTAAATTTATAATGGTGAGCACTCCTGTATGAAAAATTTTATTATATATGCTCAGTATGGTTTAATTAAATTATTTATTTATTTCATAAAGTGAAAATAGAACATCCAGTCATTTTAAGGTTTGCCTTTTTATAGGGTAAAAAAATGACATATCAGTGTGACATAACAGTAAGGTAATATATCTCATTATGTGCATGGACTGTTAGACCTCTGCCTTATTGGACATGCTGCCTTGCACAAATTACTTAATCTTTTCAGGACTCTGTCTTTTCATCTCTAAAATGGGCCTAATAACAGTACCTATAAGATTGTTGTTGTTGTTAAGTACCATGGAGTCGGTTCCAACTCATGACCCTGCAGAGGGTTTCCGAGGCTATAAATATTTATGGGAGCAGAAAGCCTCATCTTTCTCCCTCGGAACGCTGATAGTTTCGAACTACCGACCTTGATGTTATAAAGATGTTCCCAAAGCATTTAGAGTAATTCCTAAAACATAGTAAGTGTCCTATAAGTGTTTATTATTGTTATTGTCACTTTTATCATTATAATTATTTGACTATTAAGATTATTATTTAAAATACTATTAAAATAGTTCTCAGGATTAACTGTTTTATTCATTGTTTATGTCACAGCACTTTGAATAGTGTCTGGCATATAGCAGCCCTCTCAGTGGATGATTGTTGAAAACATGAATTATGCTAAGCACTTTAACTGGTATTAGGTCATTTAATTCTCACAACCATCCTTAAGGGTATATTGTTGTTGTTGAGTGCCATTGAGTCGATTCCGACTCATAGCGGCCCCGTTTAGTGTTATTTGTATTTTATAAATGAACACACTGAGGCACAGTAAAGTTTAGAGGTTGCATGGAGGTCACAGTGAGATTAAGTAGTCACACAACTAGGAGGTGGTGGTCCTTGGATTCAAACCAAAACAACCTGCCTGACTCTAGAGCTCAAACTCTTTAACTCTATACCTCCCTTGCCTTTTTTCCACTGAACTATACGAAATAAAACCACCAAACAACATTTTTTTCTTATGCTGTTGTTGTTGTTGTTAAGTGCTGTTGAGTCTGTTTTAATTTATAGCAACCCTGTATAGGGTTTCTCAGGAGCAGATGGTGAGTTTGAACCACTGACTTTGTGATTCAAACAGACCTTGCAGTCCAGTACTTATCCTACAGCACCACACCAGGACTTACTTTTCTTATATGGTGGTGTTGGCTGTGTGCCATGGAGTAGTTTCTGACTCATAGCGACCCTGTACAGGGTTTTCGAAGCTGTAAATCTTTATGGGAGCAGAATGCCTCACCTTTCTCCCATGGAACAGCTGGTATTTTCGAACTGCTAACCTTGCTGTTCACAGCTCGATTCATAACCACTACACTACCAGAGCTCCTTTTTATGTAGAATTTGCTAATTAAATCGGATATAACAAATCATCTATTGCAGTGGTAAGTTCAACTAAGATTGGTTGATTGATGAGAGAAATCTGTTGAAATAATAGACTGTGATTTTTTTAGATACACATATCAAGCTAACTTCTGGCAGAGTCTGTTGAACGGGTTTC